TACTCCAATGGCTTTTTTGTTTATAGGGGCCCCGCCCAACTTCCCTCTATAAAAAGGCCCAGCTCTGGTTTGTTCTCAGGACTTCCTGTAGTTTTTTACTGACCTTCTTGTTCTGGACTGCGATTCTCCGCTCTTCCCAAACAAACCCAATTTTGCTGGTAGAATAACTGGCAGTTTTATTTTTATTTTTTTTTTAAGATTTTATTTATTTATTTGAGAGAGAGAATGAGAGAGAGCACGAAAGGGAAGAGGGCAGAGGGGGAAGCAGACCCCCTGCCGAGCAGGGAGCCCGATGCGGGACTCGATCCCGGGACTCCAGGATCGTGACCTGAGCCGAAAGCAGTCGCCTAACCCACTGAGCCACCCAGGCGCCCAAGATTTTATTTATTTATTTGAGAGAGAGAATGAGAGAGAGAGAGAGCATGAGGGGGGGAGGGTCAGAGGGAGAAGCAGGCTCCCCGCCGAGCAGGGAGCCCGACGCGGGACTCGATCCCGGGACTCCAGGATCGTGACCTGAGCCGAAGGCAGTCGCCCAACCAACTGAGCCACCCAGGCGCCCCACTGGCAGTTTTATTTTTAAGGTTAACAGTGAACACGTGGAGTTGCTCCGGGAGAGCGCAGAAGCTGCCAGCCTTTTCTCCAAACTTTGCCCCGCGCATCTCTTCCGTCTGGCTGTTCCTGAGTTATAACCTTTTGTAACAAACTAGTAACCTAGTAAGTAAAATGTTTCACTGAGTTCTGTGAGCTGCTCTAGCAAGGTAATGGCACCTGAGGAGGGTATCTTTAATTTATAGCCAGTTGATCAGAAGTACATTTGGCCCTAAACAACGTGGGCACTGACTCCCCACGCAGTCAAAAATCCTTGTATAACTTTGGTCTCCCCCCAGACTTAACTAATAAATAGCCTATGGTTGACTGGAAGCCTTCCTGATGACATAAACTGTCGATGAACACATATTCTGTGTGTTACACGTTATGATGTGCTGTATTCTTAAAATGAGGTAGAGAAAATTCGATTAAAATAATAAGGAAGAGAAAATACATTTATAGCACGTTACCCATGTACGTGGACGTGTGCAACTCAAACTCGTGTTGTTCAAGGGCTAGCTGTATAGCTAACAACCTGGACTTTGAGGCTGGAGTCTGAAGCATGGGGCAGTGTTGTAGGGCTGAACCCCTAGCCTGTGGAATCTGATGCTGTTTCCGAGTAGATAGTGTCTGAATTGAGTTCAGTCCAGGCGTAGGACCCACAGCTGGCCTCCAGAGCATGGTGTTTTGGTGTAGGGACCCTCGTCTGCAAGCAAACACACATGGGAGTATGTACCAGAATCAAAGACCAGCAAACTCCCCAGAATGATGGCTCTGTTGCTCCTTGGTTTGTGTTCCCAGATCTGGGGAGACTCTGGAGGGTCAGGGAGCACTGACATTGTGCACATGTATGGATGACATTTGCTGGAGGGTGGCACTCACCTGATGGGAGACATTAGCCGAGTGCCTGCTGAGACTGCCCTCCCTTAAGCCAAAGCGAGTGGAGATGTCAGAGCAAAGCCAAATATTTTTCCTGGGGACGTGTAGATATCAAGTCCCTAAGGATCCCCAGATGTCTCATCACACCTGGAATAGGAGCTAAAGAGTTAACTTTTGCTATTTTAAGCTCATGGATTTTTAAAAAAGATTTTGTTTATTTATTTGAGAGAGAGCCCTCGAGCAGTGGGGGAGAGGCAGAGGGAGAAGCAGACTCCTGGCTGAGCAGGGAACCCAACCTGGAGCTCGATCCCAGTACCCTGGGATCATGACCTGAGCTGAAAGTAGACACTTAACCGACTGAGCCACCCAGGCGCCCCTTGCTCATTATGGATTTTTTTTCCTTTTTTTTTGCATTGATTTTGATTTGTAAAAAATATAGCATTAAAATATCATTTATCGGGCGCCTGGGTGGCTCAGTCAGTTAAGCATCTGCCTTCGGCTCAGGTCATGATCCCAGGGTCCTGGGATCGAGTCCCGCATCGGGCTCCCTGCTCTGTGGGGAGCCTGCTTCTCCCTCTCCTCCCCACTTGTGCTCTCTATCTCACTATCTCTGTCTCTCTCAAATAAATAAAATCTAAAAAAAAATTAAAAAAAATATCATTTATCTTTTTTTTTTTTTTAAAGATTTTATTTATTTGTGAGAGAGAGAATGAGAGACAGAGAGCAGGAGAGGGAGGAGGCTCAGAGGGAGAAGCAGACTCCCTGCTGAGCAGGGAGCCCGATGTGGGACTCGATCCCGGGACTCCAGGATCATGACCTGAGCCAAAGGCAGTCGCTTAACCAACTGAGCCACCCAGGCGCCCAAAATATCATTTATCTTGATTACTTCCTTTTAAAACTAAAATTTTGCATCCAAGCTAGTGCCTCACTTGCCTCATCCTAGTCCTGGTCCTGGCTGGGGAGTTGAAGTGTGAGTTCCTGGAAGGTGTTAAGCCCAGGATTGGAGAAAGTATAAGCACCACTCTGCCTTGGGGTGTGGTATTGGACTTCATGGCTTCTTTATGCCTCTGTTTGGTTGCATTCTGAAAAACATTGCATGCTTTCCCTGGAACAGCCCCTGTTCTAGGTGCTGGGAATATAGATATGCACAAACCTTGGTCCCTTCTCTAAAGATTAATATAGATTGGGGGCAGGGTGGGAAGCAGGCCAGTACCATGTGGTCCATGCGCTGTCAGAGGTAGCCCAGAGTGATGTGGGGAACAGAGAGACCCCAGACCCAGCTTGCAGGGGGTGGGGGTTGGGATCCTATGGGAACCTTTGGTATACTTGAAGGATGAGCTGTCATTGACCAAGCTTCGGGAAGAGGGAACAGTGTGATCACGGGTTCAGAGGCAAGAACCTATGTGGTTGAGCAGGAAACAAGTAGTTCAATGTTGTTGAAGCATGTACTTTGGGCAGGGGTGTAGTAGTGAATGATAAAGCTGGAGAGGTAAGTGGGGCAGGACCATGAGGAGCTTTGGAAACCCTATTAAGGAGCTCTGACTTTATCCTACACGAAGGGGGGAGTTATTGAGGTCTTTGAAGCAGATGGGGAACATGAGACTTGCTAATGTGAAGATTAAAGCTTTGCCTTAAATAACCTACCTAAAAAAATAGCATATAGGGTTCCTTTTTCTCCACACTCTTGCCAACATTTGTTATCTTTGGTCTTTTTGATGAAAGCCATTGTTGTTGGTCTGAGGTGATCTCTCATTGTGTTTTGATTTGTATTTTCCTGATGATGAGTGATGGTGAGCATCTTTTCATGTACGTATCGGCCATCTGAATGTCTTCTTTGGAAAAATGTCTATTCAGGCCTTTTGTCCATTTTAATATTGGATTATATGTTTTTCTGCTATTGAGCTGTATTAATTTTTTATATATATTTTGGTTATCAGTCCCTTATCAGATATTTGCTTTGTGAATATTTTGTCCCATGTTGCCTTTTCAATTTATTGATTGTTTCCTTTGCTGTGCAGAAGCTCTTTCTTTAGTTTATTATAGTCCCAGTTGTTTATTTTAGGTTTTGTTCTGGTGTCTTACCCAAGAAATCATCACCAAAACCCATGTCAGGGATTTTTTTTTTTCACCTGTGGTTTTTTTCCTAGGAGTTTTGTGGGTTTAGGACTTATATTTGAATCTTTGATCCATTGCAAGTTAATTTTCTTGAGTAGTATAAGATAGGACTCCTAGGTATATATACAAAAGAATTGAAATTAGACTCTTGGAGAGATATCTGCACACCCATGTTCCCTGCAGCATGCTTAACAATAGCCAAGACATGGAAGCAACCAAAGTGTCCATCAACAGATGAATGGATAACGATAGTAATCTTTAGAGAAGGGACAAAGTTTTATGTATATCTGTGTTCCTAGCACCAGGAACAAAGATTGTTCTAGGGAAAGTGTGCAATACATGTTTTTCAGAGTACTACCAAACTGAACCATAAAGGAGCTGTGAAGTCCAACACACATACACACACACAGGAATATTATTCAGCCATGAGAAAGGAAGTCCTGCCATTTGCAACCTTGAAGGCATCATGCTACGTGTAGTAAGTCAAACAGAGGAAGACAAATACTGTAGGAAATCACTTCTGTGTGCAATGTAAAAAAGCTGAACTTATAAAACAGAGAGTAGAATGGTGATTACCAGGGCCCGGGAGTGATGAGATTTTGTACTACCTTAGGTTTCTCTTGAGAAAATAAGAATTCATCCTTACTACTCGGGGACGTCTTTCCCTCAGAACAGTTTCGTGGATTTCTGTTTCTGTTCTCTGCCCTGTTTTTCAAATGAATCTAAGCCTGCTGGCCTGACAACTGCATGGGCTTGACCTGCAAAGCCCCTTCTCACTTGGCTGTCTCTGCATAAAGTATTGATGTTTCATTTTTTTTTCATTAATTTTTTTTTTTTCTGTTTAAGAAACACATTCTTCTTTTTTAAAAATTTTAATTCCGGTATAGTGAACATACAGTGTTATATTAGTTTCAGGTGTGCACTATAGGGATTCAACAATTCTGTACATTACTCAGTGCTCATCATGATAAGTGTGCTCTTCATCCCCATCACCTGTTTCTCCCATCCTCCCACCCACCTCCTCTCTGGTCACCGTCAGTTTGTTCTCTGTCGTCGAAAGTCCGTTTTTTGGTTGGTCTCTTTTTTTCCCCTTTGTTCGTTTGTTTTGTTTCTTAAATTCCACATATTAGTGATGTCCGTTGGTTATTCTTTCGCCCATCGTGCTGATGTTACTATGAAATGGGTCCCCCAAAAGGGGTCCTGAAGGCTAAATACGGAGGCAGAGCCCCTCGGGACCCTTGTCTCCTTGGGTCCCCTCATGGCCACCATTTAAGGAAAACCCTGTCAACTGTTTCTCACAGCCAGAGGCCTTTCTCAGCAGAAGGGAACACAGCCCTGCCATGTCCATGGACGTCCCTGACACAACGCCTCTCTCGTGCTTTCCTTCGTAAAGATGGCTGCCTGTGTTTTCATTGCAGAGCTCCTCAGACAAGGAGTCCATCCTGACCATCCTCCAGGTTCTCGGAGATCTGCTTTCTGTTGGTGAGTAGGAGGAGGTAGGGGCGGGTGGCTGTGGTGTCTCCTGGAATCTGGTGGGGCTGGGGGGTGGCGGTGGGGGTGCTCCAGGTCAGGTTTTCTCTCAGAGACAGAATCAGCAGCCCATCATTTTCACTGAGATTCATAAGACCCCAGAGTAAAGTGGGCTGGTTGTACCTCAGACTTAGTCAGGTTTCTTTAGTCTTGTCACCCACCCTATGGTGACCCAAACTTAGGAGGAGGTTCGGCTCTGGGTGGTTTCTCATCTATGGTATCTCATCTGTGGTTAACCCAAGGTCCTCCAGGGGTCTGTGGCTGTCCTCGGAGAGAGCTAGCCCTCGTGACTCTACCCCTCCCCTTCCTCTACTCCCCTCCGTTGGCCCATTTAGAGAGCCAGGTATTGGCAACTTCCCAACATATGTCAAGTGAAGATGGGAATATGAGGCAGGAGCTTGACTTCGCGGTGTGGTGAGCTATTAAGTCTTCAGAGAAAAGGTGACAGAATTCACTACACTGGAATCAACTAGTTAACTGGGGCATCCCTCTGCTACCTCACTTCAGTGTGAGGGTTCTGGAAAATAGACCTTTTTGGACATTTCAGCATTCACTCAGTTTTCGTTTCTACGTATGCCAGCCACATTGCATTAGGAAGAAATATTTACACCAGACAACACCAAAGGGAATGTCATTCCAAAGCCAAGACGCCTCCCATTTCAGTTCCAGGAGGGAGGGTCCCGTCCTAGTGAGGTTTTCCCATAGGCTGTGCTGCCCTCCGATGGCAGGGTGACTTCCCTGCAGGCTTCTGAGTGTGGTACCCTGTGGAGGCGAAGCCTCTTGTCTTCTGGGATGGTGCCTCCTTCACTTTGTCCAGAGGTGCCTGGAGCCCTTGGAATGAAACCCTGGAGTTGTCCCTCTGATGTAGGTGCTGATTATTGCTCCCATAATAGAGGATGAAACGCCAGAGGGTCTTCTTTGCTGCTAATGTCCCACCCTGTGGGCCACCTTGTTAGATCAACCAGGTGCAGTGTGTGGACAATCACTGGGGTCCCCTTCCAAGTTGAAATGTAATCCCTGCTTTTGAGCTTGTCCTGGGGCAAGGTGGGGGAGGTCCCTGTTCACAACTGTTAGGTAGAAAGACACATATACCTGATCCTAGCTCCAGGCCCTTTTCAAAACTCCTGACACGGATGAGTGGATGTCTGTTTCTTAAAGAAGCACGCTAGCTATTTCCATATATTCCTCCTGTTGGTTACTGTTATATCATCAATTAAATTATTCCAGACAAACTATCATCCCAATCCCGGTTACAGAGGATTCAAGCCTATACCAGAGGGATACTGATATTCCCTCTTCTATTAAGGATATGATTCTAGGTAAGCCTATATTCCTGTTTATGTACATATGTACAAGTACACATACGTACATCGAGACTCCACAGGTTCTCAGGGAAAGTGGATTCCATTTATTACAGCTGCTGCAGGTGAACACACCTAGGTTCTTAAATATTCCATTATTTCTCCATCTCACCCCCACCCCAGTCCTTTACCTAAAAGCACAGCTTTATACAGGTTCCTTCAGAAACCACACAATTTTGGTTTCTGGGGCAAATGAACTGCTCTGTGCTCTGTCTCTGTGGGGTCTGCTTTCTGTGCCAAGGAAATGAAGGTGATTATTCGGGGCCTCGCTCTCCTCTGCTTTCTCCCTCAGGCACCGACCGAAGGATTCGCTACATGATCAGTAAAGGGGGCAGCGAGGCCCTTCTGCAGACCCTGGTGGACACAGCCAGGACAGATTCTCCAGACTATGATGTCCTCCTGCCCCTCTTCCGACTGCTGGCCAAAGTTGGCCTACGAGGTACCCACATCCCCCCGGTTCTAAAGATGGTTGAAAAGGCACTTGCGGGGTTGTTATCATGAGAGCAATTTGGGAAACTCTTGTGGGGATGTGCAGGGAGGTCCTAGACACTTTGGTGGTGGTGCCAGGACCAGCCCCACAGGAGAGGTCATTTTGTTGTCCTGGACGTCAGCAAATCCAAGGTGCTGTGCTAGGGCGGGGCCTTGAGCAGGTGCAGGCTGCATGGGGCGTGGGGCAGATGAGGGACAGAGGGGAGGTGCTCCCAGGCAGATTTCAATCACTCTAACAATAAACAGAACATTTCTATGAGCAGAACCTTACACGGAAGCTCATTATATGAGTGCATGAGTTCCTGGGGCTGCTGTAACGAATTATCACAAACTGGCTCCAAACAACAGAAATGGATTCTCTTCCAGTCCCGGAGGCCAGAAAGTCTGAAACGAGGGTGTGGGCAGGGTTGGTTCCTTCTGGAGGCTCTGTGGGAGAATCTGTTCCATGCCTGTCTGCTAACTCCTGTGTTTCCAGCCGTCCTTGGCGTTTCTTGGCTTGTAGACACGTCACTTCCATTTCCGTCTGCGTCTTCACGTGGTGTCCTACTCTGTGTCCTTCTGTGTGTCCTCTCCTTCTTACAAGGACATTGGTCACTGGATTTAGGGCCCATGCAAATCTGTGTGACCTCACCTTAAATAATTAAATCTGCAAAGACCCCATTTCCAAATAAGATAACGTCTGAGGTTCCAGGTGGACATGAATTTTGGGGAGGGGGGCAGAATTTCAGCCTTTTACTGTAAGCCACATGGAAGCGGAGCTTCCCTAGTAGAAGGGAAGATGGGAGCCTAGAACTCTTTCCACCATACCCATTTCTTTTTGCTCGAGAAGACCCCGAAACACCTCCCTAAAACCTTAGAACTTCTTGGTGCACAGTTTAAAAAGCCTGCGCACTCAGGATGCATGCAACCCTTGCAAACTAGTCATAACAGTCAAGCTCCAGTTGTGGGAGGTCTTATATAAATCATAGAGGGGGAGCTCAGGCGCTGCAGAAGGTGGACCTGTGTTGTCCAGTGCAGGCAGCGGCGGCCACAGGGGAGCAGGGGCTCAGGGACACTCTGACCTTGCATTGTCTGGATCTCTGCTTTGAGGCCAGTCAGCTCCACAAGTCACGACCAAGACCCAGGCATCAGCCAGCACCCATGTGAGTGTGTTCTCGACAAAACCAATACAATCCATTCATTGAATATTCAGCCAGGGATTTACTACATGTCTCCTGGGGCTGGGCACAACGCTAGGCATTGGGAACACTGGTGACCAGGGCAGGTAAGGGGCCCGCTCTCATGGAACTTACCTTCAAGTGGGGAAGGGCAGAAAGTGAATAATTCACTAGGCAATAGCAGAGTATGATAATTAGCTAGTAGCTGTGAGGGAAAAGAAAAAGGGTGATGTTCCTCCAAGATGGTGTGGTCAGGGAGAGGTGACATGTGAGCCAACACTTGAAGGGTTGTACCCTGGTTGTAAATAGTATAAACTGGGAAATCAAATCTGAGTTTCAGGCCTGGCCCTGACACTAATTAGCTGTGCACCCTAGGGCAAGTTATTTACCCTTTCTGAGCCACTGGTCCCTCATCTACAAAATGTAGGTATCAGTCCTTAATTCTAAGGTTGCTGTAAGGATTAAGTGAGGTTGTATGATACCTGCTTAGCATGTGGGGCCTGACAAACTAGAGTCATGTAGGTTTCATAGAAGAGAAAGAGATGCAGGATGGATCATGGCCCTGATTCCCAAGCTCTGGACCTGGATTGTACTACTGACATTATTATATCACCGCAGCTTCTGCCATCACCAGATTGTGGTCCTCACCACTGCCATGCAGGCTGCCGGGGGCTGACCCAAACAGGACGGAAATGAGGTTGGCAGCTCAGGAATGGAGCCCGATAGACGCCTCTGTTCTGGTGAAGGGATCCGGTCATATTAGTTTGGTTGCCATCTTTTGTTGGTGTCCTTTGGTCTAGAGGTGGATATTGGTAAACCAGGTTTAGGATATTGTCTCTGTTTTACTCATTTCTACCTGCAGTGAGTCTGATAGCAATTCAGGAAAATTACAGATAGAATTTTGCTCTTAAATATGTTCGAATGCATTTCTTTGAAAAGAGACATTTTCCTGTATAATCCTGATACCACGATTACAAATCTAACAAAATTAACAATACTTAAAATTTAAAATTACTGTGTAATTTATACTCATTTCAATTTCTCCAAATGTTTCCCAATGGGGCAATTACAGACGTGTTCAAAGAAGGATCCAATCAAGTTCCACACATTGCATTTGGATGTTATGTACCTTAAGTATCCTACATTCCAGAACTATCTTAAAGGAAGAAATTTACACCCTACTAAACTGTAGTTCACGTTTGAGGACAGCCAGAAACACGCTTACATACAGGGTGTGTGAGTCCTACAGTCCACAAGGCCTCGTGTAAATATTACTTGAGGAATGAATGGACCCTATGTATACCCTGCCTTAGCACTTCTGGGCCATCTGGTTCCAATGGGGACATACTTAGTAGCATTTTCCGGTAGATTGGAAAAGTCACATTGGCTATGATCATTCTCTTGCCTGTTCCATCTTTGCCTTCCTGTGCCCCATGCATTGTACAGCCTTCAGAATTAATGTGAAACACAACTAAGATGGATTGATTTATATTTCTAGATAAAAAGTTTGGACAGAAGGCACTAGAATTGGAAGCACTCGATGTGACATTGATTCTGGCCAGGAAAAACCTGTCCCACAGCCAGAACCTCCTTCACTGTCTCTGGGCTCTGCGTGTATTCACCTCTAGTGGTAAGTGCCTCAAATTGTGGCTCTCTGGGGTGGCTTCCAGACCGGGCCAGGACACCTAGAAACCATTTAGGGGCTGGGGTTGGAAGGAGGGTCTGGGTGGAGGATACATGTTGTCCCAACAAGACAAATAAGTCTACAAGGAGCCTCACGTTCTAGAGGCTGTAGAGGTAAAAAGTGCTTTCTTTGTCTCTTCTTCATCCAGGTAGAACTCTTGAGCTCATTCCTGAAGTTAGATGTCAGTCTTGTTTTCCCTTGGGAACCACACATTATAGTATTCTAGGTCTCTCTATTAGTACTACAGGGTGAAAAAAGACCCATGGCAGGAGAGAGCATAGGGCTTTATTTAGGCCTTATCATATTCAAGGCATAGCGCAATGTCAAGAACGACCCTCACATCACAGATCTCCCTGCTATGTCCCCGAAGTTGCCTGTTGATCACAGCATCCTTTACTAAAACATCTTTACCTTGTTTTATCTCTCAGTGCTTCTCAACATAGTCCTTCAGGTAACTAGATGCATCATAGCACATGGGTTCATACTTATTTGCTGTCTCCTGATTTGGATTATTTCAGATTATCATAACAATCCTATATCTACATTTACCATTTTATAGCCAAGAAGAGGAAAATGAAGCTTGGAAGAGAGAAACAATTACTTGAGTTTATAGACAAGTTTGGGGGCTGAGTTTCTAACTCCAGAACTCATGTTTACTCTCCATATGGGGACACTTGCTATGAACAGAGTAGATTCTGTACCTCCCATCTCACATAGAATGGGCACAGACTTTATTTCTCTTTTCTGAGCCCCTCTCCTGCACAATGAAAGTGATGTAATGCTCTCTAGAGGAACGAACATGGCTTAGAACCAGGAATACCTGGGTTTGACTTTGATTTCATTCCTTGGGAGTCCTGTGGCATGGGTATTTAACCTGTTTACCTCAGTTTCTTCCTTTATAAAATTATAGTGGTTAATAAGAGCTCCTAGACTTGGTAGATGGGATAAATGAGATGATGTTCATGGGTATGTCTGTCACATTGTAGTTGATCAATTAGTTTTCCTTCCCTGCTCTATTCTTTTCCCTTAGTCCTTTGAAATAATGGGAAAAGCACACCTAAGAGGAGTGAGGAGGTGACTTTTCCCCCTAACTATCCTCAGAACTACTAAGATAGTTAGTGGGGTCCTATTTCATTGGTTAATTCCATTAATAACCATGGAGGACCCATAAACATAAAGTATTTTCAGGAAAAAACAAGATAGGTCCTTGACTCCATGTTCATGGACAGAACCTCCTCCCACACTCATATATGTTGACCAGAAAATCAGAGAATGTTTGGGAGAGGCTGAAAAGATCTGTACAAACCCATCTTTAATTAAGGAAAACTCAAGTGAGGAGCTGTGGCTTTGTGTAAAGGACAGCTGTCATTAATGAGCAGCCGGAGGGTGAGCCACCCCCCTTGGAGCTTGCCAGCAGCAGAAGACTCGAAGTATCTCATTTTAGTTTCCTAAAGAACAATTAGGCTGAATAACTTACCTTTCTTATTATATATATTGGTTATAGAAGTCTTGAGGAATTCCTTTTAGCAAGGAGCTCTAAAAAATGTTGGGAGTTGCCTGCAGGTATGAGGAGGTGGCCATTTGTCTCATATTCTAAGACTACATTTATTGTCCCAATGAATTGTTCCCTAAAGATTATTTTAGAATTTATACTATCACTATACATTGACTTCACTGATGAGAAGCAAGCAGAGTTCACAAAGTCTGTGGATTGATTGCTGTCTCTTTGGTGAATTGTTAGCCACTGTTGAATGTTCCAGAAAGCTTTCTAAACAGCTCCTATCTGCGGAAGGAGTTGGCTGGAGCCATAGTGGGGCTGCCACAGCCAATGAACCCTTTGGCAGCTCTCTCCCGGCCAATGGGGATGTTGATGGAGCTGCCAGAGGTCTGACCTTGGGCAGGGAGCCAGCAAGGAAGAACTCGGCAGGGTGTGTGTGTATGTGTGTGTGTGTGTGTGTGTGTATGTGTAGGGGTAGTTCTTATTGTTCCCATCTAAAATCCCATCCGTCACCTTCCTTGCCAAGGACCACTCAAAATCTAAATTCCAAGTCTAAAGTCTTCCATGTTAGAATCTGTGCTCCTAAAACTATTTTGTCCCTAATGCTACTTAAGACTAGAATTTTGCTGAATGATTTGCCAAGAGATTGCTCCAGCATGTTTTTCCAGTTTAGAAATAAAGAACTGAATTAGTAGCCATGAGAGTGGAAGATTGATGGGCAGGACTAGGATGCCAAATCTCTGAATTTTGATACAGGCTGCCTGTACCAGCCTCAGGAGGGACATATGCATAGAGGATGTTCCAGGAACACGCAGTCTCTGTAATCACTAAGACATCAGCCTCAGTTTCTCTCTGGTGGACTGTACTGGGATGAACTATATTAGAGCCCCCAGATTTCCATCTATCCTTCTTTCCCGAGGCTTGGAGCAAGCCAGGATAAGCCTCCCTTGTTTCTCTCTCTTTGTTTCTCCATGACTCCCTTGCTCCCACTCATATTTCCTGGAACAAGTCTGGCCCAAAGCACAAGGCATTCCTAGGCCTCGATTTCAGCACTCCCCCCCATTACGGTGGAGGAAAGAGACAAGAGAGTCCCACCATGGAAAATCCCTTCTTTCCTTCTTTCCCTGAAACTTCTGCCCCCCTGCCAGACTGATTCCATTTTGTCTCTTGGAGGCACCCCTTATTTTTTTTGACATGACCAGAGCTCTTCCTAAAGTGAGCTGAGTGGAGCAAGGAACTGGGGATGCTGCAGAGAAGCCAGGACATCATTGGAGATGAGTGTGACGTCCAGAGCTTTTGGGTCCAGAATTTGTATCTGAAGCCACTGGGCTGACCTGATACCCTTATTGGTTATTTTCTGTCATTCAGATCTATGGCTCTCTCTCTCTCTCTTTTTGTTTTGTTTTTTTTTTAAATAACCATCCAGTTGGGCAAAAAGGCAAAAATTTCCCAGGCTATTGACCTCTGAGGAGGAAGAATTGATTCTTCCCTGATGTGCTAGTAGATGGGGGCGCAGTTAAGTCTGAGACTCAGTCATGGGAGATCCAACTACGAAAGCTGTCGGGGAACTTGGAACCAGGGTGCAGAAGAAAGGGGGCTGCCTTCTTTATTAGCTTGCCCCTAAAAGTTTTAAAGGAGTCAGTCCAAGTTGGATTGAACCTTAACCCGTCCACCCATGACCTTTCTTCATTGTGAAGTCTCCAAATGGCAGAATGAGTCTAAGGAACTATCTTGTAAGATACTGGCAGTGTGTATGCCCTTGTGTGTGCCTGAGTGTACGTGTGCGTGTGTGTATGTATCATGGGGGAAGTTGATGGTGAGTGAAAGCACTTGAATTGAAACTTAAAGATCTACTTTCAGAAAAATCTGCTTGGCATTTGCTTTGACTATTCTCAGTAAGAATACAATGAAGAACATAATTTCATGGCTTGGGCCCCCTTTGAGAAGATTGTATGAAAAGAGAATATATGCTTTACAGGTGATCTTTGCTTCCAAGCCAAGATGCAAAGACCATAGAGTTTCACTGCTTTTGAGTGGCCCTTGGCAAGGAAGGTGACAGAGCTCCCCTGTCTTTTAGGCCTATTCTGTAATGCTGAAAAGAATTCTTGGTTCAGATGGTCTAATAACTACTGTGATTTGGTCTTTCTCAGTCACCACGGGGGCCATGCTGGGAATTAATGGAGCAATGGAACTGCTTTTCAAGGTCATCACCCCTTATACCCAGAAGCGCACCCGAGTAATCAGGTAGGGGCACTTTTGTAGTGCTTTTCCCCCTCTTTGTAATAGATGCAGAGATGGAGAAGGCCTCATGTGTATTCTCATGGTGCTTCCAGTTGAGGTGAGTGATGGCTACCCTCTTGTAGATACGGTGCAATAACTATCCTGCTTCAATGGGCATCCCTCCCCACCCATGCATCATTTCCTCTAATCCTCACAATGACCCTGAAGGGGTATATTATTATCCTCATTTTCAGATGAGGAAACCATGGGGAGAGAGCCTTATCTAAAGGTCACAATACTAAGAAATGGCAGAGCTTGAACCCAGATCTTTCTGACACAAAAGCCCATGTTTTTTGCCTGGATCCTTCAAGTAGAAGGTGACAGGCAGAGGTGACGCTCCTCAGGGCATCGCTAGAGTCGGCCACTTAAATTTCTGATATGAGATCCAGGCCTTAGCGTAGTCCATCATGGGTGCATGTTGGTTTTGAGATGTACTTTTATGATTGGAAAATGAAACTCAGCCCACTCTCTCTGGCCCTGCTTGCTGGAGTGGCATGAATCACAAACTTAAAAAGGGAGAGATGGTTAGACACGAGGAGATATTCAAAACCATTAAGATCTATCATTTATGAGAGTGACTCAGCAAGGACCTTGAAAGAATATTAGAAAGAATTCAGCCAATTTCTGAGATATATGTGGTCATTTGGCAAAGTAGCATTTCCATGCCCAGCCATGAGATTTTTCTGCATCTCAGCATCCATCTTAGGCTCTTGTTCCACCTGACTATTTTTCTCTTTGGTCACCACTGTAATGCCATTCTCATCCATCCTCACCTGTGGCTCTCCACACCAGCATTTCCCAGAGTGAAATACATTTTGTTTCAGTAAAAAAATGTCCTCATCAAATATATCGAGAAGTTCAGGATTTGACCAAGTTATGCAGAGTCCTTTACAGTGACTTGTCCTAGCCTTTGTGAAGCCTGAACACATCCAGAATAGCCAGGATGGGTCCATAGTACACTGTGTCCTAGACCCGATTTGGCCAGGGAATGGGTCTTGTTTGAAGACCACCATTTTGGGGGGAGTCAGTGTCCTATGTACCTCACTTTAGAAACATCTGGAGAGCAAGTGTTCTGCCAAGGGGAAGTCAATTCAATTCTATCAAGGGATCCTCAGCGAGTAATACAGAACTTCAGAATCACCAACTCAGGGACCAAAAAAGATGAGCTTTCCAGATTTTTTCTGTAATTGTACATTAGTTCCTCTTAAACTTCCATTTACGTCCATTTGGATATGTATGATTTAGGTACGCGTGGTGTTTCTCATGCTGTGTGGGCCTTTGCTGCTGACATCTGCGGTCTCAATATGTCCTTTGGTCACCAGTCTGTGAACTTTTATCTTTTTCCTGTCTCGACAAGACCGCCTCTAATCTGGCAGTGTTTCCATTCATCCGTTTGGCAGCTCAGGAGTATGTGGTTGCCTCCCTGACACTATGTGAATATCGGTGTGATGTCTGCCGGGCTGACCCACATAGGAGTCTCACCCACTTATCTCTTCTTGCCATGAGGTGCCATGCTATTTGGAAGGCTTCCTAGAGAACCTTGGCACTAGACTTCTCCCTTCTGGGCCACTGATAGCTTTTATTGTCTTCCTTGTTCAGGCCGAGCTGGGGCAGAGTAAGCAACAAGGCACAGAAGTCCCCTTCTCAGAGACTCACGTCAGGTTGCTATGTCTCTTGTTCTTCTGCTGCAGAGCGAGTGGAATTCAGGCACAGATCTGATCAGGGTGCCATGGGAAAAACCACGGATTCATGGCGGGAGGTGGAATGTTTGAAATGACAGAAGGAACCTTTCGGGGACCTCAGGCTGATTTCTGCATTTCTGGTCTTTTCTATAAAATGTGGGCAAGATGATTTCCCCTTCTTGAGCCCAACGCCCATCTAAAACCAGTCCTCCATAGAGAAGGAGTTTCTTTACCAACCACTACCATGTGGCCATCATGGCCATGGCCTTCATGCTGTGCCCTGCCCTGTCCTGAGCTCTTAGCAGGCATTTATCCCATCTGATTCTTTCCTCTTCTCTGCAAGGCAGGTGCTATTACTGTCCCCAATTTTACAAGGGAAAAAATGGAAGCTGAAAGAAGTAAGTGATTTGCTGGGATTTAAGTGGAAGAGCTGGGACTTAAACCCTGTCTGATACATGAGCTTTAGCTCTTAAAGCACCACTGGAGTGTCTTACACGGTTCGTTTCCAGCATTTTATTTCTAAACCACCATATGTAAGATGATCGTAAGCACTTAAAGTTTGTTTAAATTTTCGTTGCCATCTAAATGGCTCATACTCGTGGAACAATTTGCTTAATGATAGGGGAGTCTTTCTCCTCAATAGAATGGCTATTTCCTCTCAAAGGCTAAATGATTATCTGCTCCCTCCATGTTTGGATTCTTTCCCACAGCTGCCTTATTTTCTGTCTTACTCCCAGCACCCCCCACCCCCCAGTAGCTAGGTAAGGACAAAGACACTGAAATCTGAAGACCAGCACTGTAGCCCTCTTTCTAGTAGATTCTATGGTGGCTCATTTAACCTTTCTTCAGCAAGCTTTCACGTTCCTTGGAGTGTGAATGTCAAGTCCTACCTCCTGGGTTTGTGGTGGACATTAAGAAATAATGTATAAAAATCTCATGAGCTTTGATGTGGCATAATACTGTTAACCATTATTAATACAAATACCACTGGATACTTGGCTGGCTGCTTCAGATCAGACAGCAGAGCCAGAGGACAGCATGCAGATGGGATGTTTCTGCCACTACTCACTTCTCCCATGAACTCCATCCCCCCAAAATAGTAACTCAGATGTACCCAATGAGTTCTGTTCAACTCCACCTGGATGCCAGAATCTGGGTTTGAAGGGGTCTTCCAGGAAGGGGATGAAGTACCACATCAAAGGACGTGAATAGCCCTACTGAGTGTCATCCTCCAAATGCTAGCAAGCTAGGGGCGAGATGTTCTCGGATGCTTTTGTGGGAGCAGATGCCTGGGGCTGTCAGTTTGACTCCTCCCTGCCCTGCCTGACTTCTCTAGCACAAACCTAAAATTAGCGGTGCAGCTGTCCTTCAGTGAAGCCCTGTCTCCAGATAGTACTCAGGGCGAGATTTATAACCGAAGCACTAAGCACACCCCTTCTAGAGAGAAGGGGCATGCAGAGCAGTGCTCCTAGCCCTCTGTGGCCCTGTGCCCATTCTCACTCCCAGTGGAGGTGGCTGTTCCTGGCCTGGCCTTCCTCCCTTCTCAAATAACCACCACGCTGCCATGGTCCCCCTGCCATGTGTTTGTGTTGGCTTAGGTCTCTTCCCTCATGACCATCACCCTGGCCGGAGCACTGTTTGCTCCTACAGCCCTCTGCTTGGTCGTCCCTGATTTGAAAGCGATGAAGCACCTGTCCCAATCTCCATTCCATCCTTGGGTTCGTCCTCTCCTCTCTCTTCTCAGCCTACTCCCTCCACATATGGCATGCGCTGTCCTGTCCCGGGCCTCCACTCAGAGCTTCCCCTGGCCTGTAATGGTGCTGTTGCCTTATTGAATGGTAGAGATTCTCCCCATGCTCCAGACCCCGCCTGCTGCAGCTCACCAGGCAGGAGGCATCTTCTCCCTCAGTGCTTCTCTAGCATTTTGTTCATATTTTCATAACATATACCAGATTTAACTCCGTTCTGTGTTGGACTGTGTGTCCTCTCTTCTTTCTAAACTCTAAACTCCTTAAAGGCAGAATTCACATTATATTTACCTTGCTGTTATTCTCCATAGGACCTATCCAAGTGCCTGGACAATGGGAGACTGTTAATTCAATTCAAAAACAATTTCTTCTTCAGGGGCACCTGGGTGGCTCAGTCAGTTAAGCATCTGCCTTTCGCTCGGGTCATGATCCCAGGGTCCTGGGATCGAGCCCCCCTTGGGACTCCCTGCTCAGCGGGAAGCCTGCGTCTCCCTCTGCATGCCGCTCCTTCTGCTTGGGCTCTCTCTCTCTTTGTCAAATAAATAAATAAATAAAATCTTTAAAAAAGATGTCTTCAATTAAAAAAAATGTTTTTGTGAATAATCTAATGATGAATAAAAGCCAACATTTAGTTGGCTTTTTAGTCAGTATACATTATAGTAAACACTTCATATTTATGAACCCATTCTTCCTTGATCCCAAGCTGGCTCCACATGCATGGTTCTCTCATGTCTAAACATGCCTGGGACATGACATGGCAGGCCTCCAAGAATGCCGTCATGTGAGGGACTGAGGTGCCTTCTGGGAAAGAACTCATTCTAGGAGAGTGAGAAGCAGAGTCCATCTGCTTGAAAGAGAACACAATATCACTCACTACAGGGGAGGAAAAACTTGTGAGTCTTCTCTCTTTTCCTTACAGTTGTCTGGGGAACTGACCTAGTCTGGCAGAAGGGAAAGATCTGAGTTTGAGGGGACGCCAAGGGGCAGCATTCACGTTAAAACTTTGCTTAGTTTTTGAGATAGGTTTCCAGGATTTGGTTTGTTGATTGATACAGCTGGGGCTTTAGAATTTATGGGGGAGCTTTTTATAGCAATGGGAGCGGGAGGAAATGACACTGGGCCAGGGTGAGCTGGCTCTTGCTAACTTGTTCTACTGTGGACAGGTTTGTTTATCTGCACCAAAGCTGTCTTTGCGCTGTCCAGATTCACTAAGTAGGAAAATTTATTGAGGTGAAGAAGGATTGATTGTGACTGAATCATCTTGTGACCTTAGAGAAGTTTGTGTTTGTTCCAGAAGCAGACGCTTTCTGCTAGGAGCTGTGCCTCCCTAGCTCCTTCATTTCCAGAATGGACTTGAGGGTTTTGGTAATAATGCCATTTTCACTGCTCATTCACTTGACCATTTCCAAAGCATGGCCACATCCCCTCTGATCCTATTGGATTGTCACACTGTAATATTTAACCCAAGCTTTGAAGCTGAGTTACCAGCTCCTATCATCAGTATACCAACCAGGTCTATAAACTCTACCAGCTT